AAAATATAAATATTTGATATAAATATAAATATTTATATTATTTTAAATATTATAAATATATATATTACAAAGTATTAAATTATAAAAAAGTAAAATAGTAGTAATTTGTGTGTGTGTGTGTATATATATATATATATATATATATATATATATGTATAATAGTACTCCCAAATGTGTGTTTGGGATTACTGCGCATGCGTGCTTATGCGTGCGCGTACATCAGTCTTGAGTTTTCCTATCTCTACGAGCGTCGCGATGAACGGTCGAAAAGGCCCCTCTTCGCAGCCTCTTTAGGTGCGCACGCGCGAGCGAGATTTTTCTTTTTTGGGGGGGAGGGTGCGCGCTTGCGCAGAAGCAAGTTCCGCGTCCCTCTCCAGGCGACCAATAGGGCCTGGGAAGAGCGGGGTCCTCCGCTTGTCGCGCGAGAATTTAAGCTTCGGATGGGTGAGGCGGAAGCCGAACCGTCGCTGCGTCCTCGAGGCGTTACCTTGCGAGGGACGTTCACCCGCTGTGGCGCGGGGCGTCGGGTCAGTCCAAGTCGGGGGGCGGATGGGAAAAGAGGGGAAAGACTTTGGGACTCGTGTCGCCTTTTGGTCGCCTCAGGGGAAACACACCCGCTGTGAGGGCGTTGTGTGCGCATGCGTCAGCCCCAGTCTAGCCCCGGAAGTGACTCCAGGGCACACAACAACATGAGGTTTATGACAGGGAAAGGATTTAAACTTGGCTTTGTTTTGGAGGGCTCTCGAACCTGTCAGGGCTGAAATAATCCGGTTTGATACCGCTTTAACTGCCACGGCTCCGTGCTATGGAATTCTGGGGATGGTGGTGGTTGTTTTCCGACTTCCGGCGTCCCTCAGGGAAACCTATTCCTGGAGTTTTATTGGCAAGCTCCTTTAATTGGTGGTGGGGGGGGTGTTTGCCATCGCCATCCCCTGAGGCTGAGAGAGTGTGACTTGCCCAGGGTCACCCTGTGGGTTTTCATGGCTGAGGTGGGATTCGAACCCGGGGCTCCAGAATCATGGTCCAACACTCAAACCACTGTGAAAACACTCTGGCTCCTACTTCCCAATTGTGTGTGTTATTTGCTTTTAAGTTGCTTCAAAAATTTTGTCGACCCTCAGACAAACCTATCACGGGGTTTCTTGGCAAGTTTCTCCAGAGAGGGTTTGCCATCGCCATCCCCTGAGGCTGAGAAAGTGTGACTTGCCCAGGCTCACCCACTGGATTTCCTTGACTGAGGGTGGATTCGAACCCTGTTCTCCAGAGTCCTGGTCCAATGATCAAACCACTATGAGGCGCAGCTATGGTGCCACAACAGATTACCATTTCCAGATTTCCATAGCACGGAGCCTTGGGGGTTAAAACGGTGTTAAACCAGATTATTTCTGCGGTGCAGATGTAGCCTTGGTTAGGTGGGCTGGGAGGGGGGACAGTTGGCTTTCTCTTCCTTGCACATGCTGATGAAGAGTGGTGTGCATCTACATGACAAAATTAATGCAGTCTGATACCACTTTAACTGACAAACCTCAGTGCAATGGAATTCAGGGAACTGTAGTTTTGTGAGGCATTTAGCCTTTTCTGTCATAGAGCTCTGGTGCTGCAGCAAACTACAATTTCCAGGATTCCATAGCACTGAGCCAAGGCAGATAAAGTGGTGTCAAACTGGATTATTTTTGCCAGTACAGATGCAGTCATAGTCAGCCTCATTGATCCAAAACACACTGCAGAAATAATCCAGTTTGAGACTGCTTTAACTGCCCTGGCTCAGTACCAGGGAATCCTGGAAATTGTAGTTTATTGTGACCCCAGAGTTCTCTAACAGAGAAGTCTAAGGTCCTTTGCAGACTGCCAGAAATAGTGCAAATTGAGGCCACTTTAACTGCCCTGACTCAGTGCTAGGGAATCATGGGAATTGTATTTTTTTCTGAGACATTGAGCCTTCTCTGTCAGAGAGTTCTGGTACCACAATAAACTACAGTTCACATGATTCCCTAGCACTGAGTCAGGGCAGTTAAAGTGGACTCAATTTGCACTATTTCTGGCAGTCTGCAAAGGCCCTAAATGTCTCACAAAACTGCAGTTCCCAGAATCCTCTATCATTGAACCAGGGCAGATAAAGTGGTCTCAAACTGGATTGCTTCTGCCATGTGTTTTGGACCATAGTGGATTAAGTGCTAGACTCTGGAGAACAAGGTTCATATCCTCAGCCATTTAGATCTACTGGATGACTTTGGGCAAGTCACACACTCTCAGCCTCAGGGGATAGCGGTGGCAAACCCCCTCTGAAGAAACTTGCCAAGAAATTCCTTTGATAGGTTTGTCCTAGGGAACAACAGCAACATAAATTTTATGACAGGGAAAGGATTTAAACTTGGCTTTACATAGGACATTGGAGATTTAGATTTTTATTGTTTTCATATTTTTCTAAGCTTCCTTGAATTCCATATCAAAAGAAAGGTAGGCTATAAATATAATAAATAAAGTAGGCTGGTCTATTTTCCTTCATGTTTCTTCTGAACCACTCTGACTCAGGCTGTCTTCAGGCAATTCTGTTTCCTACCTGTTGAGGAAGCACTTGCGCTGCAGCAGTTCCAAAAGAGAACTAAGCCTTTACAGACTGTCAGAAATAATGCAGCTTGAGGACACTTTAACTGTTCTGACTCAGTGCTAAGGAATCATGGAAACTGTAGTTTATTGTGGCACCAGAGCTCTCTGACAGAGAAGGATCAATGTCCCAGAAAAAAATACAATTCCCATGATTCCCTAGAACTGAGCCAGGACAGTTAAAGTGGCCTCAAGCTGCATTATTTCTGGCAGTCTGTAAAGGCCCCATGTTAGTCTACTGATGCAAAAACACCTTTTAGTCTTTGTGCTGATTTTTTAGTACAGTGAAACTTGGATAATTCGAACCTCAAGGGACCAGTAAAAGAATTCGATTTATCCAAAATTCAAATTATCCAAAAAACGGGATACTGTATTGCAAAATTTAAATACAGTACACATACATTTTTAGGACTCTGCCGCGGCCTCTCTGCCTCTCCTTCCTCCTCCTGGTGCTGGGGGAGTTAGAGCCTTGGGCTGCGGAGGTTTGGGACACCGCCACAGCCTCTCCGTCTCTCCATCCTCCTCCTCCTGGCGCTGGGGGGCTTGCCTTGGGCTGCAGCGGTTTGGGACTCCGTCACGGCCTATCCGCCTCTCCTTCCTCCTCCTCCTGGTGCTTGGGAGTTGGGGCCTTGGGCTGCGGCGGTTTGGGACTCTGCCACAGCCTCTCCTTCCTCCTCCTCCTGGCGCTGGGGGAGTTGCCTTGGGCTGCGGCGATTTGGGGTTGCCTTGGAAAAACTTCGAATTATGTAATTCGAATTAAACATAATTTTTTAACATTGTTTTAATACAAGATTCTAGGGACCAGGGAAAATATTCGAATTAAAGAAGATTTTGAATTATAGAAGTTTGAATTATCCATGTTTCACTGTATTTGGACTAGTACATTTATTATCACATAAGCTTTTTGGAATGTTGTCCACTTCATCAGATCAATACATGGTGTATTATCCAAAATTTCAGGTCTATATACACTGCAATGCAAGTAGTGACAATTACATTATTAACGATGACTGTTCCCTAAACTGTTGTTCCAAAAACACTGCAGAAATAATCCAGTTTGAGCTGCTTTAACTGCCCTGGCTCAGTTCTAAGGAATTCTGGGAACTGTAGTTTATTGTGACATCAGAGCTCTCTGATAGAGAAAGCTAAATATCTCACCAAACTACAGTTCCCAGAAATCCTTAGCATTGAGAGATTTAAAGTGCAGGGCAGTTAAAGTGGTCTCAGACTGGATTATTTTTGCAGCGTGTTTTGGACCTATTACTGATATCACAATAAGCCAATTAGCACATGTAGCCTAAGTACCCCGCATCTCAGTATAAACCTCTGTTGTGGTAATAGACTGTAACTTACCAGTGAATGGTGTTCTGCTCTTAAATTTTCCTGTGTTATCTCTGTATTCAGTAGTGGTTAGGTTTACTAGAAGAATGTTCTGGGAGGCTGATGTGTACCTTTGCTTGTTCTTCTTTTTTAATATTGCTATTTTTGATGTCAAGAGCTAGTGTGGCATAGTGGTTTGAATGTTGGACTGCAACTCTGGAGACCAGGGTCTGATTCTACACTTGGCTATGAAACCCACTCAGTAACCTTGAGCAAGACACATCCTCTCAGCTTCAGAGGAAGACAGTGGCAAACCTCTGAACAAATCTTTGCAAGAAAACTCTGTGATAGGTTTGCCTTAGGGTTGCATAAGTCAGAAATGGCTTGAAGGCACACAACAACTTTTGATGTCAGATTTGTACCCATTTTTTTCATTCTGCCCATTTTTCATAGAGAACAACAGGTTTGGCAGATAC